TTGGTGCGGATTTGACGGATTTGCGTAAAAATTCAAACAACCCCCATATCGCTTTTTCTGGCACAATCTGGATTATATCGAGAGATTCTTAACTGATTGCCGTGCTATCGTAGTTGGTGTGATACTTGATAAACAATTGAGCGAGCACTATGTACGCAAAATGGGACAGCTCTCGTGTCGAGAGTAAAACTGAATAAACGAGACATCTCTGTGGACAAAAAACATTCTTTTCCAAGAAAATTAATAAACAGACGTAAAATTTTGTATAATAAATTTAGTATATAATAAATGAAAGAAAAAATATCATTAAAAGAACGGTCTTTTAGTTCAATAATGCCAGTTGGATTTGACAATTGTATTCTATAATTGTATTAATTATTATTACTGTACTTAACTGATTGATTTCAGTTATTATTACTATAATTAAATCCCAATTAATCTGTCATCATTATTTAAAATCATTTAACTATTGTAATACACTATAATCGATCAATGATTACATGTTAGTATACTGAATTACTAAAATTTAATCATCATCATTAATTATTGTGTAACTAAGTTTTCATCGTTAATCGACCTATTAAAACCAAATATTCTGAATACAGTTCAGCTAACAGCGGCGCTGTCGCGCCGCTATTATGTTATAATCAGTTCCATTTATATCACACTTCGCACACACTTTTATTCACCTCCCAACGCACCAGCAGTACAGTTCGTTTCGCGGAACTCTCCGCGAAATATCGACGTGATTTCGATAACTTATGACCGCTGCTAGTTCCAGTGCCGCCACTTCTATGGTGATTGCCTTTTGTTACGGTTGAATGGCGTCCGCAACCCCCACGGGCTTTCCCTCGACTGTAAGCCAGGGAGAAGGGAATGACGGGGTAGTGGGCCTTTCTCTCGGTGTCCGGAGGGACAACTCGTTCCTTCGGGCGAAACTGACCGCGGCTGAGCAGGCGGTTGCGACTTGCGATAGATCAAGTCGAAATCGCCGAGACCGTTGGTATTTGTCGACCCGGTAATTCTCGAATCGCGGATTTACGGAGAGGAAAGTTAAGATTCTTAAACAGATCTCGGAGCTATAAAAATTTTATAATGCAATTTACTTCTTTTTCTTATACTAGTTAATGATTAATAAGTTTGAATTATAATGAAGAAATTAAAAAGAGTGAGCGCGACAGAGTAGACAGCGCATTGGTCTAGTATGCTAGAGATCTCGGGTTCAAATCCCGGTAGACCCAAAATACTTTTATACGCTCGTCTCTCCTCTCGACGGTCTGGCAAATCACGAGAGTATTCTTGTCCATAGAACCTCTTCAAAAATTTGCCGTTCGGAACCGGCGTTAAAAAAATATATCACCACTACCTACATGCGCACCATATATATAGGCATATATGAGAATGAGGTAGAAACAGGTTTTAAAAGATTACGAAAGCAGGAAGAAAAAATTATATTGACGTGATTAAGAATCTCGCCAACTCGTGTAAAGTCACACGGTAGTGTTTCTCGGTTGAGTTGACACTCGAGAAGATACTACCGTGTCTCCTGATATACCTATATACCTGTATGCTTCAGGAATATCAGGATCTTGAATTTGCCAATGCGTGCTCCTTTAATTGCAACGATCGGATTGTTAAAACATCAAACTCTTCAGCCTGCTTTCCCCATAGTGTAAAACACACACACACACACACACACACACACCTATCGTAACAAAAAAATTAAATGTAAAATATCGTTGAAGCTCGTTACGACGCCTAAGACATCTACGAATTACGCAATATATTGTATCATAAATTCTTTCATTTATTCATACTAATAAAATAAAAGATAAATTAAATTAAAAGATATTTATGATACAATAATATTGCCTAATTTGTAGATATCTTAGGCATCATAATGAGCTTCAGCAATATGTTACATTTAATTTTTTCTTTATTTATAATAGTAATCTTTATAATTTAATCTTTCCTTTATTTATAATAATAAAATATTAAATTAAAAAAATATTAATGAATTACTTACCATCGTCTCCGCTGTCATCGATATTAATATCTCTCTCTTCTCGAGGCGAACTACTGGTCAAGACCTCGTGAAGAGAGATTTTAATATCGTCGATGACAGCGGAACGACGGTAAGTAATT